ATTCTCAAATAAATGGCCAGCGCACCGACTGCCCGTGCGAAGATGCGTTTTTTGCATAGCTCCCCAGTTTTGGCCGCTATTGGCACTGATTTTTCCGGCAAATGCTTCTAGCTTTTCAGGTTTCTGAGTTAGCAACCTACCTGAAAAAAACTTTAGCCGACCCCTACGTGGGTAACACGCATAATCGGAGGTTGAGTTTGAGCCCGTTTATAACTACTTGGACGGAGATCGTTCCTTAAAATTGCAGTCTTCTAGCTTTTCAGGCTCTTAGCAGTATGCCTGAAAAAAACTTTGGCGGGCCCATACACGGGTACTACGTGGGTAAGACGAAAACACAGACAGACGACCCTCGTCAATATGCTTTTCCTGCATTGTGTACATGCAAAAAATGGCAGATATGTCCTCATTTATGAGCTAAACGAAACAACAAATTAAAGGATTACCTTGGGAACGGCAAAGAGGGCAAGCTGTTGCAACGATTTCTGATACGTCTTGTCCAGCGGCTTCTTCAGCTCCCTGTATTTAGGCTGGTCTGGCTTCCGTTGCTTCGCTTTATCACTCTGATCCCCACCACTTTTTGGCGTAGATTTTTCTTTACTTGTATCACGAACCTACAAACAAATTTCGTACAAAAACGCTCAACACTACTTTAAATTCAGTTTCAAATAAATAAGCAATCAAAAAGATTAATACAAAATCTCTTTTTGCTTTCGATACTCTTTATGCTTTGAATTTTTCCTCAGAAAAGCTTTACTTTTTAAAACTGGCCTTCCAAAAAAGCAAAAATCCTCGAATTTTGGAATAGTCAGCAGGAAATGACAGTCAACAGAAAATGATAACGAATAGCCCACCTGATATCGAGCACACAGTGCCAACGCGAAAAGTGTGGGATCCTGCTTTGGAGCTCGGCCAGCAAGAGAGATATCCAGGATCTCGCGCAATATCATTAATCCCTGTCCTAAATGTAATCTCTTGTAAATCACTTCATCTTACACAGCTTTTAAACAAATCTCTCTTATTAGCTTAGAGATGAGACTCAGTTTGTGGCCTTCACAATCGAGCAGGCCGAATGATCTTATTCATTATTTATTTATTTCCAAATTCCAATTTCTATCACAAAATCGCGTTCAGCTGTGGCTGCGGCACCAACGTAGTATGTCTCTGTTAAAAGCTTCTATGCAATTATCTCCAACCATAACTGATAACTGGTGGATAGCCACTAGGAAGAAGCGCTAATATCGAGGC